GATTCGAACTTGGGTTTGGGATGGAATAAAAGTCTTGCAAACCAACTCTACCAAATAAAACTTGTTCTCATTGTAGTTTCAAAATACATACGATGATATGCAACAAAGTAATACGGTTTCACCTTTCACGAACCTAAATTTTTTTACTCTTCGACGGAGGAATAATACAGTTATAGTAGGTCCGTCCATGCCTATGACTAGCATCACCAGATTAACATATCTTTTTGTTTCATTTGTTAATTCTCATATACCCGACCAACAGACGTGTACAACATTAATTCTAGCCGTTTAAATGATTTTTTCAAGTTTTATTTCAAAATTCTTTCTAAAATATTAAAATAAGCACTAAAGTGCAATTATCTTTCATTAGGTTTTCATTTTTATTATCTTTTTCCACTAAAAAAATTAGTTCTAAATTCAAGAATACATGTTAGGAATGATAATTTGACATGAAAATGGCCATAAAATATGTTAAAAGACTCTTAGGGATTGTTTGTTTATCTCATAATAGTTCAATTAAGAAGCAGTCTCTGAATCATTAAAAGATGAATCTTGTTTGGTAAAATAAAGTCTGCCTTTTAATGGTTCTAAAAACCTCTGATTTTGTATCCCGAGTCTCCCTTAACCATTAAGYACCCTAATTTCATTGTAAACAATTACCAAACAATACTATTTTCATTTTGCACTATATCATGAGAGTTTCTTAATCATTCTGACTATTTAATCATTCTGCATCAAACCATTCAACAACTGTCAAACAGCTCATTAACTTCATCTACCATGAGAAAAGATCTTTTCAAAAGAAAGATACATATTTTCTTGAAATTTAAAATGCTCATAATAATAAAAAGCTTTAACACTAATTCAATGCTTTCTTTTTGATCCAAAATCTAATAAATTAATTATTTGACCACATCAACAACATGGAAAAAATGGTCAAAAGGGAAAATTTTAAGGAACAAAAATGAAGAAACATAAAAAAACAGATAAAAAATATATATTAAAATTAATGTCGAATTATAGATAATAAAATGATCGGGTTTTTTACAATTTATTTTGCTTATTTGTTGTATTTCACCGATTTTCGATTTAAAAACGGTGAGTGATACTTTTATTTTTGTTAAAAGGTGGTTATGATTATATATCTTTTTAACTACTAGAATGGTACTCGCGTAATACGAGTTATATTTTGATTTTAATGTTTTATTTTATTTTGTCTCTGTAGATACTATAATGTGGTTTATATGGTTTTGAGAAAGACATAATATTTTTATTTTTGAATAAAATATAAATTTGGAGATATCATAAAATTTTGAAAATAAATATATCGATATTAGTATCAAATTAACTACTAAAAGTTTTTATTTTTTGGGTAATTTATTTGATTCACTTTTTTTTATTATAATTTAACTTAGTGTCCTAAAAATTTGTTAAAACATCCGAAAACGTTTTACAAATTTATTACAATGTCTTTAAATAGGACATTTTATTGACTTCATCCTATAAATTAAGTCTTATAAAATAGTCTATTAAGATACTTAGAAATTGATGATGTCTTATAAACCCAACTCTACTGTAACGGAATGTGTCCGTCTTTCATTAATTTTTCCGTCTTAACTTTTTCTGGAAAAAAGTAAAAATAAAAGTTTTAAAAAAAATACCAAAATATATAAGTTCTAGAATGTATTTTGATGTGGTAATCTTTACATAAAAAGAAATACAATATGGTGAAGGCTTCAACTCTTATCAACTATAAGAAAAGTTCTTTCCAAAAAGAAGCCAAAGGGTTGTTTACCAAATACTTACCCGGTAAGTGTTTACTGATGAAATTTAACACTATCATTTACTTACCAGGTAAGACTCTTGGTCCGTATCTCGCTCTTACCAAGTAAGATTATTGGTCCTTACCATATTCATTCGATAAGATAATGTAACTTGGTGTTCACTTACCCAAATAAGCATTTGATAAACGACCCCTAAATCTTTCTTTGAAAATGCTTCAAATATATAATTCAATGCTTCTAACTTTAATCCAAATCCAATGAATCAACTATTTGACCACATCAACAATATAATAACTATTAAAATACATCAAAACCGAAACATAAATAATGTCATAAAAGGTTTATTTAAAAAATATCTAAAAACTTGTTAATATATCCAAAAACGTCATATCACCTTACTGTAATACCTTACCTAGAAACACATTTGTTTAGTCCAATAAACTCGAGTCTTAGAAAGCAGTTTATTAAGACATTTACACATATTTGGCGTCCTATTAAACTTACTTTGTTGTATCTACTTGGTTCATTTGTTCGCTTTGATGTAAACTTTTATTTCTATCACGATCGAGTTGTCATACATAAAGTGTTTTAATTGTGTGTGAGGCTTTGGATTTGAGCCCCTCAAATACAAAATTATGTTAAAACGGTTTGTTTACTTGGGGTATTTTGGTCTTTTTTGTATTTCTTTATTTTTAATTGAATAAATATATTACTATTATTATTATACATTTAGTATATATATATATATATATATATATATATATATATACACACGCATACACACACATGTTTATTTAGTAATGCAACATTAGACTGTGAGAAAGCTCTCCCGCGGTAACTCCCCACCCTTTCCCGGCCACTCCCCCATACCCTCCCCCATTTTTTTTAAGTATATTATATATATATATATATATATATATATATGGGTTAAATATAACAAATAAACTCACACACCTTCCTCATCTTTGGTGAGGTTTGAACTCTTGATCTTCTATGAGATCAAAAACTATGATACCGCTAGGTCAAATGTCCTTTGGTTACCCTCCCCCCGTTTGGTGGTAAATCAATTTAGTTCAAACGATTACGGAAGAAGACGTGTGTGGCTTGCGTTTGATTGGGGTTTTGGTTTTTGTTGCCTGTCGGAGTGATGACGTTGTAGGTCGGTGGGTTTGATCCCATGGATAGTATTGCAACAGGGAGAGGATGGGAGGGGGTGTTTCATCCCTAACAGTGGTGTCGTCGTAGAAGACGGTAGTTGGAGGGGTCATATTTGTTGGAAAGGGGAGATTGCCGTCTATTTTATGTATCTATACTATATTATAAAGCATTTAACAAAAACTCTTAAAAAACACTTTTTATAAATGCATGTTACTTAAAACTCAAAATTACAAGTAGATTGTGCGTAAGTACAACTTATTAAAGCTCCATATCTGAATTTGTGGAACTAACTATCTCATTTTAAATATAAAAAATCTAAAATATAATTAGGATAATCATTGAGTTCTAACAAAATACTTAATTATTATTGTTATAAAATGTTATATTATTAAACCAAAAATAAATTATTTCATTATTAAACTTAAATTAAATTATAATAAAAATAAATAAATTACATAAAAAATGAGAACTTTTAAATAGGTGATTTGATATTAACATTGATATTTTTTTTTTCAAATTTTTATGATATCTTCAAATTTATATTTTACTCAGTAATAAAATCATTATTGTTTTCTTAAAAACAYATAAAATCGTATTATAACATCGACATAGATAAAGAATAAAATAGAACATTGAAATCGAGATATGTCACGATGTATTGCACGAGTACCCTTCTAGTTATAATAATATATTATTTTATTTGCTCTATCAATTTAATCATTCCATTTTTAAGAAAATTGCGTAAAATATTTCAWCCAACTTATTTTTACTTTTTATTAAAGTTTAGTGAATTAAAAGTTAAATTATATATATAAGGGTTAAATCACGYGAGAACTGAAAAAGTTTAAGAATCGTGAGAACTGATTTAAGCCCTAATTTGGTTTTGATATTAGGGTTTTAATTGACAGTTCACTACAAGGAAAATGGATTTTAGAGAAGAAAGTTTTAGAGAAGGGTTTGGAAGTATATCTAAAGGTGTTATTTAGGGAAGGAAATACATGACAAAAGTGAAAAATGTACCTGAAGATAAGACGACTTTCAGAGAAGGATTTCAAACCTAATAATATGCTATATATATTGGTCCTAAAGCTTTTAGAGACACTTCTTATATAAAACGTCTCTAAAGATCAACTCAAAAGCTTTAGAAACACTTTCTACATTGTCGCTAAAGAATACAATATTTTTATTTTTATTTTAAAATTAAAGAATAGGTTTTAGTTACTTTTTTATAATTCTCAAAAGCTTATCTAAAAGTTTTTTTTTTATTTTTAATAAATCAAATTTATATAATAAAAATATTCATGAAAATCAAACCGAGTCTATACGGAGAGGAGATACGAGAGTCCCGGTATGATTTCTCTTCGATTTTTCAACAATCGGACTGATTGTCTGTGATTTCTCTTCGCTTTATCTTTGATTTCGATCTTCGATTTCGTTTCTTGATCTAATTTGAGTTCAATTTGTCTCATATTTCGATTTAGGGCTTGAAGATTCATCAAGTTACGGTAGGCGATTTCGTTTTAGGGCTTGAAGATTCATCAAGTTACGGTAGGCGATTTCGTTTTAGGGCTTGAAAATCGGATCCTTGTTTATCTTAATGATCTTGCTAGTAGTAGAGCCTGAATTAATGCAAGTTACAATTAAGATAAACAAGGTTGTAATGTTTCTGTAAGCAGTTTGATGCATATGTGCTTAGCTTTGCAACTTTTGTAGCAAAGAACTTCTGATTGAGAACTTGTTATTTTAATGTTTGGACTTGGCTAACAAATTTGGTGTAAAAATGGTGTAATGTATTGGAAATGAAGTACTGTTTACACCATTTGGCGCAGTGAAATGGTGCAAACGATTCGACATGATCTTAGCCAACAATTATTTTTTACTATCTTGTAGGCTAGGGGTTTGAAGAAACATTTGAAGAGGCTCAATGCGCCGAAGCATTGGATGCTTGATAAACTTGGTGGTGCTTTTGTAAGTTGATCTTCCTCTGTCTTTGAAATTTGTTTTTTTTTAGTTGTCACTTTTCTAACTTTGGATCTCCATTTCAAAGGCTCCTAAGCCATGTATCTTGATTTCCATCTTGATGCAAAGACATGTGCTTGTTGACAACAAAGTCAGGACTGACAAGACCTGGTTTATTGGGTTAGTATACTTGCGCACTTTTTGCTATTATTGTCTTTTCATGAAAATAATAGTAATTCATATTGTTTAATGTTGAATGTTGATTGCTTGTAGGATTTTAATTCACTTGCAGGAGACTTGATGAATCAACACTCATTAATTTTAGTCATAAAATTCATATGGTTTCTTTATTCATGATAYTGTTTGGGTTGGATGAATGGTAGAAGATGGCTTTCTGACCAACATTTGTTTTATGAATGTAGTTTCTTATGTGTTGCTTTCTGTTTGTAACAGATGTTGTTTCTATTCCAAAGACCAATGAAAACTTCCGTCTTCTCAATGACATAAAAGGTAGATTCAAGCTACACTCAATTAGGGATGAGGAGGCAAAGGTTAGTAAAACTGTTCTATAAGGAGCTTTAGTTTTCGAAGTTGGTCAACCAAATTAAAGCATTAAATTTGATATAAATGTGATTCTTAAGACCTTCCGGAAATCAATTTAATAGTGCAGTTTTGATGAATTTTGACATTTGTTTGACATTAGGATTTAACATCGTCGGGAGCTTGTGATCCTTTATGTTCGGTGGATGAAACAAGCTCACAAGAATATGAAGCTACTTACCAGCCAAAGACCGATTTATTGAAAGCTGTGGCTATATTTGGAGCARCTGCGACAGGGACAGTGGCGATTAATCATTCWTGGGTGGCTGCAAACCAGGTGATTCTAATCTCATAGCTTGTTACATCTGTTTAAGACGATATTGAGTTTGAAATGAAGGGATATTTAGTAAATCTTAAAATAGTTTTGTCATGCCTCCTGGTGCAGGATCTTGCAATGGCGTTGTTGTTTGGAATAGGTTATGYTGGCATAATTTTTGAAGAGTCACTTGCCTTCAATAAAAGTGGAGTAGGTTTACKAATGGCAGTAAGCTTGTGGGTTATTCGGAGCATCGGAGTAAGGCATTAACTTCCTCAATTTGGGTTTTATTTCTCAATTTTGTTAGTGTTATCAGATATAAATTTCTTTTAGTTTATGCTCTTACTTCTAAAGTTTATACATGACACTCATGGGGCTGCAACCAAATCAAACCAAACAAAACAGACCCGGTACATACCACCCACTCGCAGTGGTCTTTTCTTTCTTTTTCATTTCTTTTGGGGGTGGGGGACATACGCAAACCTTACCTCTGTCCCATGAAATTTATAAGTATCTCTTTATGCTGAGGAAGAGGAACAACCAATGTGGAGGGAAGGATCATACGTATATATCTTTTTTTTGCTGGTCTGTTTCTGTTGATATATCAAAGGATAAACCTACTCATGGCTGTAGAGAACATACAAATATGCATCTCATCGTTGGTTTATGCTTTTAGCTGCATTTATTTTTGTTAAGTCTCACTATTACATAAATATATATTGTAYCACTTTCATAATTTCTTATTTGTTATCCAAAAACGGCCAATATTGTCATGCAGGCCCCCTCAACCGACATAGCAGTAGCAGAGTTAACACATGCTTCAGCAGAAGTCAGTGAAATAGTATTTTTCTTGCTTGGTGCAATGACGATAGTGGAGATAATTGATGCTCATCAAGGCTTTAAGCTGGTTACTGACAATATCACCACTCGCAAGCCCCGATCCCTCCTTTGGGTGGTTAGTGATCCATTTTGGATTTTTTACAGTTATAATTGTCGTTCAATCATTAAAGTGATAAGCTCCATGTTCAATCATTACAGTTATATATATATGTCTTTGAAGATTAAGTCCAACATCAGAAAATGTTGTGTTTAAGTGCAGAAGTTACTACAGATGCACTGGTGTAATATATATACATATATATCGGATGATCCAAGTGTTTTCATCACTACATATCGAGCATATAAAAAGGGTATTAGAATCCTCTGCAATTTGGCAGGGTTGCGAAGAGATTCTTTCTTGATGTCAATTTTAAAGTTAATGATCAAGGAAATCTCTCTGTCTTCTTTTTTGGCCATCAGCTTACTAGCTCTCTTTATAAATAACAAAGTGAAATCTTAAGCATAATAAAGACTTGCACAAATCAACAAGAAAACTATAACAGATCAACCATAAGTACAAAGACTCATTTTGTTCTGTTTTAGTGCTTTAGGCTGCTTGCTATTCACACGATGGCCAAGTTCATGAAAACCCCAATTGTAATCATGATATGGTGCCACCTGTAGTGGCTATGGATTAATGTAACTAGGACCATGCAGGTGATTGGTTAAACTCTACTGAGTAGCTCTCAGGTGGCACAACTACATAGTTTGGTTCATGACTTGAAGCTGCTGTAATCCTTTTGAATATAACATGCCTATTTTGATGTATATAATATGTTTAAGTTGTTTGTCACAACCACTTTCTGCCCCAAAAAAAAAAAAAAGACTTTGAGTGGGTAATAAGAATTGTTGGCATATCATGTGTAGACCTCTGTCTTTATGGAATCAGATCTAATGTTTCTTATTTCTTGTTCTGTTGTTGGAGCTACTCTTGACAGATATTAGTTGCATGACTCGAAGACGACCTACTTAAACAACAAACATGTATACTTATATTGTAGAAACCTGCTTTTCGGAGGACCAATCTCTCTTTAAGGCAAGAAAAGTTATAAATATCGTATATTTTGGCGCATTTCAGATAAATATGATATTCCCTATTTTTTGTTTCGGTATGATTTATCTCTTTTCTTTATCTTTTTCAGATCGATTTCATTCAACAGGAACGRCTACTTTGTGAGGCTTAAAATGCAGAACATTAAACTTAAAATTGAATTTAAATTTTAAATATTCAGTTTTGTAATGAAATGTTCTGATGGCTTATTGACTTGTTGCAGACAAAGAGGCAAATTCGCACTGTTGCAGTTCACAGGAAATTGTTGCATTATGGCTATCACCTTTACAAACACCTTGTAATTAGAAGGGGCTTTCGTTGTCTATGCCAAGTAACAAATGTTGTTCTACTATAATATAAGAAAAATTTAGAAAATAGATGGGAAGTGATAGGTTGAGCATCAAGTTTTTTGAGGAGTTCAGGGAGGATGTTAAAAAAATGGATGTATGGATTGATTGAACGTTAGAGATTGTTTTGAAAAATTCTTGTCTTGGTAAATGTATGAAATTTATTGCTTTGAGATTTTTATGTTGTTTTTGTTGATTGATATTATTATTTATAATATATAATTATATGTAAATACAGGGTTGAAATATGGTTGAAAGAAAATAATAAGCTCTTTTGAGAAGGAATCGATGTTTTAAAAGTGTATCTAAAGATAACCTTTAGAGAACGTTTTGATTATTTGTATCTAAAGATAACCTTTAGAGAAGGTTTTCAAAGTAGTAAAATGTACTAAAGACAATACCTTTAGAGAAGTGTTTTTGTAAACCTTCTCTGAAAGTATTTTTTAGAGACGTTTCGAAACTGTCACAAATACTTGAAAAACGTCACTAATAAATACTTTTAGAGAAGCTTTTTTGTAAACCTTCTCTGAAAGTATTTTTTAGAGACGTTTCTAAACCGTCACAAATACTTAAAAAACGTCACTAATAAATACTTTTAGAGAAGCTTTTTGAAAAAAGTTGACTCACCTTTAGAAAAGTTTTGAAAGTGTATCTAAAGCCCCAAAAAAAGTGTCTCTAAAAGATAACATAAGCGCACCCTCCGAAAACCTTCCCTAAAACCTTTACCTACCGTTACATAGAGAAGCAATGTGATGGAATTGAAAAGCTTCTCTAAAACCTTTAGAGAAGCTTTTAATACTTTTAAGCTCAAAACAAAACCTTCTCTAAAACCCTTTTATCTTGTAGTGGTTGTTTTGAATTAAAAAATAACGTAATCATCATTTTGGTAATAGAGATTGATCAAATGAAACACATACTCATCATGTTATTTTACCTAATGAAATAAAACACAATTTTCATAAATATGTTATTTCACCTCATGAAATCCAAACAAAATGTTCATATATATGTTATTTCACTACATGAAATCAAAGACAATATTTTTTTCTATAATATAGTTCATCTCATGAAATCAAACACAATTGTACCAMCATTCATGGTCGACTTCAGTTGAAATAAATCCTTCAAACCACCCAATTTGTACAAACCGTGCAAACCACCCTCATTCCTCGATTTCATTGTTTAATCTTATGAA